CTTAGCGTTCGGACCTCTCGCGCGACCAGAAGTCGCGCAGTACCACAGAAACTGCTCGTAGACGCCTTCTTATTTGCGAAGGTAAGGAATCCGCTCTTCGGGAGAATGCGGGATCCGCTGGTAGGCCGTGGCAATAGATGTCCATCTAATCCTTTGTTGACTATTTCCCGATTTACGGATTCCTTACCTTTGCAAATAAGAACGCATCTACGAGCAGTTTCTGTGGTACTGCGCGACTTCTGGTCGCGCGAGAGGTCCGAACGCTAAGTATGAACGTGTTCTAACACGTAGACTATCAGCGGCAGCTTAATAGTGATACTATAGAGGTTACTTACATTCAGGAAGTGGTCTCTACAATAATCTGCAGAAATACAACCTCCCTGATCCGCAAGCGGTCTTCGACATCTCGTTCTTTCATGAGAATCCTGAGCCGTTCTTTGCATTATCCAAGGAACTATTCCCGGAGAACCTCAAGGTTTCTTGGTTGAGAACATTTCAAGGGCCAACTCTCTGCAATCACTAGTGTTTTAGCCAACTCCGTGTCACTATTTTGTGAGGCTTCTCGAAAAGAAAGGAATTCTTAGAAGATGGTTTACACAGGTGAATGTTTCATTGCTTTTCACGCATGCTGTTAAGCTGGAATCTGTCTTGTTAGCAGTGACAGTTTTGTTCGAGTTGTTTCTGAATTGTAGGCCTCATGTTTTACAGAACATCGATTCACTGGAATTCCTAACTGGAATACCTGAAGATAAGGTTGTGACTGCTCACGGTTCACATCGCACGAGCACGTGCACCAGGTGCAGTAAAAAGTTCGATTTACAGTGGCTTGAAGGTGAATAGCAATATAATTTATTTGAGTATGCAAAAGCCTTGTGGAATATTTTCTTTAGAGCGGCTGAAGGATAAAGATTGTCTAGTGCCGCGATGCGACAAGTGTGAGGGCGTTGTCAAACCGGATATAATTTTCTTCGGGGAAAACTTACCGAAACGCTTCTTCCAGTGTGCTATCTCGGTTTGTCTATTTATAATGCTTATGGTACAGTTGAAGATAATCTCGGTCACCAATGCTTTCAGGATTTTCCCAAGTGTGATCTGCTGCTCATAATGGGGACATCATTAGTGGTTCAACCATTTGCTAGCATGGTGAACGAAGTACGTTTGTTCGGATCTTCCAGATACCTCGCGTGAAATCAACTTGTTTAGCGTTTTGGAATTGGCAAGGGCTCCCATCTGCCATAGCACTAGGCCACATTTTCAAAATCACGCTGTGTTGTGGGTTACTCTTGGAGAAACTGGAATGAGCAGAATGTTGGAACAGGGTACAGTGACGTTGAGAGAACACCATCAAAGGGTTTGTTCGCTAGGCAGAGGGCTGTATTGGGTTGATGGTGTCGCATCTGGTCTTGATTGAAATTTTTCCGAGCCGCGTGAGCTATTTTTTTTCGCGTGTTCACGTTTCGCACGTTCATCCCCGCTAGTTGCCACCACCGTCAACGTCCTTGCAACTATGTTTTGCGTTAGATGAGGAAAGTAGATGATTGGTGAGTGCCTCTCCCCGCTCGAAAGCAGTTTTTTCAAAGACTGCAAATTTTTTCATGGAAAACTAGAAGTGTGATGAGAAATTTGGAAGTGTGATGAGAACATAGGAAGATGGCAAGATGGGGGTGGGGCGTCGCCCGACACCGCCAATTCTGCCATCCCGATGTTATATCCTGTGTTGGAATGGGTTTCCGATATGTTTTAAGGGTGTCGCGCAGTGAGCATGCATGCAGACGGAAGTGCATCCCTCTAGCTAGCGGGTGTTGAAAGCAACTAGTTGCCAATTTTTTGTTAATTCGCATCATTCTGATTATGAGGAGTAATAGAAAAATACATTGTCGTCAGGCGACCGGTTTCGGAGTGCTTTTGAAGAAGTGTGCTATCCTCACATTTCACTAGCAGCGACTTTCTTCCACAAAAAAATAAAACATGACGCTTTCCCTCAGAAGTCTTTGATAGCATCCCTGCTTATAAGTAGTGACATGCTTTTGAGGGGCTTGATTGAGTAGAATTCTTGCAAGTACTAATTACAGGTCTCTGAAGAAGTGCCTCGTCTTCTAATCAACAAGGAACAAGCTGGACGCGCTGGTATTGTAGAACGAGCCATGGGTGTTCAAGGGTTGTGCTATGGAATGAAGGACAATAGAAGGTAAGAGACGAGTCAAGGCCACGATTTTGTGCTACACAAACAAGCTTTGTAATGCCATGCATAACTGATCCTCTTATGGTCAGAGGTTCAACAGAAATTGTTAGGCTGCGTTCGTACCTTGCCTCAGCGTACGGCAGCATTTTGGGCCACCAGAAAAGTATGGATATCGATGTGGCGCACACCAGCGGTCCCAGCGTTTTCGCGGGCAAATTGAGCTTGTGCAAAACTGCCCACGAAAACGCTGGTAGATGCTCGAAATCTCGATAGATACACGATCGAAACGCTGGCGCACGCTGACGCAAAGTGTAAACGAAACCATATAGAATTGTGACATTATGCAAGGAGTACCGTTTTCTTTCGTAATGTGCCGTTTTGCAGGGCACTATGTGTTAGGTTTGGCTCTATTGAATTTGAGTCGGTACAGAGCTTTAGGAGGGGGATTGGAAGCGACTATGTACAGTAGTTCGTGTGAGTAGGAGGCGAAACGGACCGCCTGCTTTTTCTGGATAACTGTTCCTTTCCTGTCTTTGTTTTCCTTCTCCATAGCAATATAGTGTAGTTCGCTGCGGACGGTTGGGCGTGTCAGTACGGCTGCGTTTGGCGCGGTGCCAAAGTCGTTCTCCATCTACTTTTGAAGCGGGCAAGTGACAATACTGTATCACATCCTTCGTATTACTCGTTTTCTACCTTTTGTCGCATGCGCGTTCAACAAGACGGCAGAGAAAGGCTCTGAAGGTGTGAACACTCACACTCACTGGCTGACACGCCCAACCGTCTGCAGCGAACTAGAGTCTGTATTCCATTGCTCAACGCTAATACTGAGGACGGTCACTTCCTGTGCGAGGTGAATGGGTCTGCTGTTGTATAGCGCTAACTTCTCCACCTGAAATTGGACGGGAACGAGGCGAAGATAGCGATAGCCCGGTGCCGACTCCATACTCTGCCTTGCGTTGCCGCGCGGTCAGCCACACGCATAACGCGCTACTCGTCTGCGTTCTCTCACCTCTGGTAGTCTGTACCTTTGACTGCGTATCCGCAGCAAGATTTTGCAATTGATGCACCCTGAGGAGGAGGAGCTCACGGGTGGGCTCGGGAGACGGCACCCGGGCATTGCCCTCCAGCTTTGTTCCCGTACACTATTGACCGGAGAAATTTGCACTCTACTGCAGGTGCCATTCACCTCACTCATGGTGAGCATCAGGATCAGCTGAGTTAACTGTACAGTCTGTATCCAAGGCCAAAGGCTAGCCCCTGCGCATGTCAAAGATTTTATCTTCCCACACAGCAGTAGCGTCGTAGCCGATGATCCTTCGAGTAGGGTTTATTGAGGAAAACTCGGACCATGTGTGGTTCTACTGGCGCTACTTGCATGGGCCCCACCTTCGAGGTCTAGAAGGAGAAGCATGATATGACCTTCTATTAGCTTTACCTTTGCTTTCAGAGATGTTTTCTGGAGCGGTACATGCGACGACGGATGCCGCCGGTTGGCGGAGCTGCTGGACTGGGAACATGAGTTGGATCAATTGGTGCAAGAGGGTGAAGTGAAATACAAACCTAAGCCAAAATAGCTTGTTTTCGCTAAATGAAATAACAAAAGAAATTGTTCATATGAAATACCGCTTGATTCCCATGTGATCATTTTGCACATATTTTCTTATCATTGCAGTCTGCAACACATCTGCAATGCGAGGTTTTGTTGCTTGCTCGGAGGTTGTGTAGATATTGTTTTTTTTTTGCTATTCTGCCTAACGAAGAATGTGGCACGAAGAATGTGTGATATAGATGATTCTTCATTATCGTCCAAAACAGTTTTACATGCATGTACAGAAATGTAATAACCTATTCGCGTCACTGAATTCATGAAGATACAACTTATTCATCTAACCATATAAATAAATGATTTAACCGGTCTTTCCCAGATATGTGTTATTTACGGATATCACCTGTACTGCCGTTGATCACCGAGCTTTCTCCAGTGTGTGCCAATAACCTCTGCATTTTCTCATGCATCTTGTGCTAAAAGAGCGCGGGACACTGCATATCATGTGTTTGAGACCTCCACGAAGGTTGATGGTAACCGGGCTGGCGGTCGTCTAGGTTTTCGCTTGAAATCTCCTTGAACCTCTCGTGCTCTCAGCTGTTTATCCGATTCAGCGGTCATCTTTGGGTCGTATCGTCCCTTTCTCAGAACCTGCTTCCAACTGAGCCATTACAGGTGCTATTTGAACTACCTGATGTTCGTCACGCGGACACTAAGTTGTGGACATTGCTTGCAATTTAGCCAGCGTATCAGGTTGGAGAGAAGGATCAGCCATGTTCTGTAAATTTCAAAATACTTGCTAATGGTCTGAGTAGGTGTGCTCAGTAATTGAGCAGTAATACCTAAAGTGATGCTCTCCTCAGTATCACTCGCTTTTCTGCTACTTCCTATTTCTTGCAATAAGTACACAAATTGCGTCCCGTCAAGCAATACTGCAGTGCAGCTCACAACCCCGAGAAAAATTTTGAAAATATCATAACTCGCTTCAAAGTGTTGCTTTTCAATCGAAATAACGACCAAAAGAATCAACACATTTCTGCCAACGAGAAGGCAGTTTACAT